TGAAAGTGGTACTAAAAATGGTCAGAGATCTATCCTCTGTTATCGCTAAACTAATGATGTTGGATGCCAGGGAGGATAATGGACAGGGGATAGATCACTATAGATATACCCTGTTCAATGTATGCCCTCTAAAGCTGTGGTGTCAAACTCACCTTGTGCCCTGGGCAGATCAGGATCATAGGACTCCTTGCAGGTCTGACTCAGACTGGAGCATGTTGAAACTGTTGCACCGGTGGCAGTTCTGGCTCTGGACCAGAACACCTGGTTCAGCTTTAGACCAGAGCATACAGTGGCAGTTCCAGCTTTGACTCAGAGGACACAGCAGTGACTCCAGCCCCCAACGCATGTCCTGTGCGTCGGAACTGCTGCCCACTGTGTGCCCCTGCAGTGGTGGCAGCTCTAGCTCCAGCATGAAGCAAGCAGTGGGGGCTGGCAGCTGGGGAGATAGGGCTGCAGCAGTGGTGACTGGTGAAGTGACCAGAGGGTGACAAGGGCTGCATCAGCCCTTACTCACTCTCCTGTCCCTGATAGCCATTCTGCGACAGGCCACATTTCCCAGCGACACTGGTAGTCTGGCAGACCAGACAGAATGGCTCCACGGCCTGCATGTTTCATACCCCTGCTCTAAAGTATCCACTCCTGTCACTGCTGGACACAAGATACTGAGCTAGACAGACCACTGGTCTGAGCAGTCTGGCATTTACGTTCTTAAAATGATGTGGGACTTGGGTATCATCATCATCATCATCATCTGCATCAAAGCAACTGTATAATCACCTCCTACAGAAAAGCTCCTAGAAAGAGAGTTAAGAGCATCAAGACATTTCTTTCCCAAACAGTGTATGTGTAAAGCTCTAAAGCACCAAGCAGCAAATGGAGGAGCTTGTTTGCAGTACACAGCACAGTTGCATGTGTTGGTTCAGAGTATCTGGCTCGACTAAGTCTTGGTGCACTTTGCCCTGAAGAGTTTCAAAGCACTTCACAGATACAAACTGTAGCACAAGTGCCTCATGTCTCCAGATGATTAAACTCAGGGGAAAGTGGTGACATTAAAAGATTAATCCAGGATCACAGGGGAAGACAATGGCAAAGACAGGCCTTGAACCCAGGTGTCCTGACCATGTGTCCCTGCCCTAAATGTTAACTTATTCCCACCTCTAACACCCCCTAACTCAAGGCTCATTGGAATCAATGGCAAGAATCCCACTGACTTCAACAGATTTTGGATCAAGTCCATCATGCTCAGGGGTGAATCCTGTGGTATGGTTATACCCTCCTTCAACTCTGTAGTACATGCACAGTGTACTCTCTGCTTTCAAGAACCCCGATTTTGGGAACCAGTCTTGGCTGATGATCAAAGCCTCCATGCCAGTGACCTCTCCACCCCACTCCACTTTTCAAAATCCTAGATCCACTCTGATCATACCAAAAATAGGAATAGCTGGCATTAGTACCTCCATCTCTTTGTCTCTTTCTTTTGCAGGCCACCCAAGCCAACAGCATAGAGAAATATGCTTTAACTAATGTAGAGATCAAAGTAATCGACAAAAGTATCCACGCACCATACTTTGAGCACATGAACTACACAGGGACCGTGTCTACTGGCCTTACCCGTAACAGTCTGGTCATGGAGGCTGGAGCTCCTTCCAAACCCCTGAAGATCTTTGCAGTTGATGAAGACTTCCCTAATGTAAGGAACAAAATGCTTAGCTTCCTTCTGTGCTTATGTTGTGTTTGGACCAGTATTAGGGGATGGGGGGAGCAGGATGGTAACATGCTTCCCTAGCATTTCCACTAGGAACAGAATAAGGCAACCAATATCCATCCTACCCCTCTCATCTCTCACCAGGCATCTTCCATGGCCTAATGCTCTCACCAGTGCACCCACATGATTCAATTCAGTGAGCGTGTCTATACATGATTTAAGATGGCTTAAATTTGCTGCACAGTAAATTACTGCTCAGTAAGCAGGAATAGGCTGGTGTCTACACATGCAGGCAACCTGGGAATAAATTAGGTTAGAGCAGCCTGCCATGTGCCCCTGTGGGGACCTCCAGCCTCCAGCCTCCAGCCACATGGCTGCTAGCACTTGGGACTAACTTTAGTCCCAAATTGAAGCCAGGAGAGGCAGCCAGCCATGAGGCCTGGGGCTGGGCTCAGGCCAGCCCCCTAGTGGCTGGGTAGACCCAGCAGGGAGGCCCCCTGGGTTACTGCACAGTAACACATCTACGTGTGCATTACTGTGCAGTAACTAATCGGGCATAAATTGATACCTGCATTATGCAAGTATCAAATTTATACTCAAGTCAGAGTGAGTCACCATATTTACTGTGTGATACAGGTGTACAAGTGTAGGTGCATGTCCGTACTCCAATGTAATGTCAGTTACTGCACAGTAAATGTGCATGTGTACTGCCCAGTGATGCTGAACTGATGTTAGTGTTCTCTGAACTCTGGTAGGAATAGTTATAACCACATTCAGAAGAGCCTTCATCAGGAGGTTTTCCATTAACTTAAATGGGAACATCATCAGGCCTGTAGAAGGCAGGTACCATGCCATCTACTCTGGTAGCAAAGCCCAGAAAGCCAAAGTCTGAATCTGCTAGTTTTCTAGTCTTGCTGCAAGATGTGTTGTTTACACAGACATTTCAGGAGGGCTCAATTTGAGAGGTATGCTCTTGATAGGGGCCTGTGGCAGGGGCAATGGCATGGTGATCTTGATTTGTTATACAGGTTAAAAAA